CCGAGTTGTTTAAGTTTTTATGCAGATTGATATGTTGTAATAACTTCTGTATGTTGCATAGGCAACTTGCGTTATACTTTCATGTCATCTTACTTCTGATTGGCTGATAATTTAACAGCTTGGTTTTGAAACTTTAAGATTTCATTTTCATAACTCTGATTTTGATGTTGCATGTGTGTTTGGTAGGAGCTGAGGGATATCAAAAATGAAAACTTGTTTTGTATACTATCTTTAAAATGTGTAAATATATATACATCAATGACCCATTTATAATTTCACTATGTTATTTACTTAGGCACGTTAACCAGGTCTTACGCTATTGTATACATACGTTGTATGTGATTGTAGAAAATGTTCCAGTTAAAGAAAAAAATATAACTTTCTAACTACGAACTGTCCCATATTTGTGTAGTCTAGTTTTCTAAGCACGACAACCAAGCTTTTACTAGAGAATTCTAGCAGCTCATTATCTGAAGTAAACGTACTCGGGGCATTGTGTGACATATATCATTGATCAAGGCTTCTAGTCTGGTGTTTAAGGACAAAATTAATCGTTATATTACAGACAATGCTTCAGGCGTAGTAGTTACCTGTCTTGTTACGTCTCGGTGTTCTGTCATATCTTTATTGTCATACCTTTTGACATATTTTAACGTCACGACAGCATTACTTTATAAAACAATAGAAAAAAACAACAACAACACAGCTGACACTTTTGAAATAGATATTGTATGAGAACTAACCCTAGTACTACATTAGAATATTTCAAAATCTAGCGTGATCTTTTCGTGTTCGTTTCGTTACAAACCACTGAACCGTTTGTATTAATTTTGTATAAACTCATCACAAACTTTATCACAATAAAGTACGTACACGCATGTTTAACAGATGAATAAAACAGTCAGTTTTTCAGAGTAAAATCGCTGTAGCGTGTTGCTAACACCTTCTCAGGCACGTCGAATCCTGTTTATCGGAAAATATTATTTTCAGTTTGACAGGAAATTTAACCCCCACCCCGTTATTGAACATATGGTTCAAAATTAGGACGTAGTTAATCCTGGATCCCACCTAAGACGGGGGTGAGAAGGAGTGTCAGTTGACCCCCCTCCAGAAGATAAAAACAACAACTAACAATAAAGTACCAGTTGTATGTTTATACTGTATGTGCTGTGAAACGACAGGACAATCCAATGTCAAGCAACACATTATTGTATTCTTAGTTTAGAAAAATGCAAGAAATTCCAGGGGTCACAAACCATCTGGACTTCCGTACGGAATCGTCTTCCGAAATTAAATCTCTTACCTAAGGCAGTAATACTATATGTATTGTACGTGTACGTATATACGTGTATGTATAAAAGCGTTTTGGTATTAGTATACATATTCTCTGCAATTATGGTTAGGTTAGAATTACTTTAAGTAGGGCACAACATTACACCCAATATATTTTCCAGCGGTATTAATCTTACAACTTTGCACTAATTATTGTCTGCACTTTACGTTATAAAAGTTATTCCTTCCACCTCCGAATTATTTGTTTCCCCCCTATCTGTGTAAATGGACTGCCCTAGTTGTCACGTGATACAAGAAAACACGGGCTCTAGCAACAGCGCTACTCATCGGTAGTGACGCTGATGAGAACGGATCATGGCTACCGCTTTTCTAAACTGGAATTTAGTAGGAATTTAGGAAGTGTTTCGTGCTGAGGGGAATGAATCAAATCTCTTGAGCATCTTGAAGTGACTCTAATTTTCGCTTTCAATTTTTTTTGGGGGGAGATTACTGATTTTACCCTTGTATGAACGTGCCTAAAACGTTTAATACTTCTTTCATGTTGTAGTAATTCTACTACTTGGAGTCGGACTGTCAATTTATGCAACCTTGTTTGTTTGTTTTTTAAATTAAAAAGAAGGGTTTCACGGATCTATACGTAGAGGAATGAATATCTTCATTCAGTGATTCGAAAGTATTCATGAACTACCGATAATTTGGTAGCAGTTGTTTCATGGCTGTTGTTAAAATACAAAGAAAACTAGTTTCCAGTAAAGACAACAACTTTGTTGAACAAGTGTGATCGTAAGGAGCTAACAGTAACAGACAAATAGGTGTCTAATTATGCTTTCTTCGACTTCGGCGGCTACCCTAACACTGACGTCGGCCTCCAAGGTCGGTCTTCGGCCTCTGAGCAACCTAGTAAGTTATCATTTTACCTTATCCTCCCGGTGAACTTTATTGGTTTGTGATGCTTTTCCAAGCAGTATATCCTTGAAGAAAGATTATTTGTTCAGATATAGCTGAAATAGATAAACTTATTTTGAAATATTTGTTGTTTATGATGCATGCCCCTATAAATTTTAGCTATTATTTAGTAACGAGTATAATGTGAATAATCCAACGACCTTAAAAATTCAGTATTCCACAGAAGAAAGGAAAAATATACATTGGAACGTAAAAGCTGAAGTATAATAAAAGTAATTCCAAATAGATGTAATTAAAAAAATCTCTCGATGAAAAAATTTTACTTTGGAATTCTGAGAATAAAACCTTTTTATTTATTTTTAGAATTGTTAAAATTTAATGTGGTGTGAAATACGTAACCATCCCTACAATATTTTCTGAACTAAATGTGACGAGGTGGCGCCACCTACCTATATGTCTACAGACGTAGGACTTCAGCATTCAAACATTTGTACTTATTTTTATTTCAATCGGTTAAGTATGGAAAGCATCATGATTCTTATTTCACCATTATTGATTTGTCCCTAAGCTGCGACTGTCGTTGTAGGAAATAAGTTCATTACTGCTCTTCAGAAACACGTGGCGGCGGGGCTGAGTTCGTGTTTGACGTCATTATAAGCAGAGAACAATTTGACGTTTTAGTGCAGAGTTAAAAGTTCGAAAGGAATGAAATTTAGCAGTTTTCATATTTTCGAGAAACGAGGTTACAGCTTTCTCGAGTAATTGCTTGTTTTATTAGCAGTTTTGTTTATTTTAATATTTTCGTCCAAAGCTACACAAATGGCTGTCTACGCTTAGCCGTCTTTAATTTTCGACAGATAAACTAATAGGGGGTGCCTAATCAACAAATAACCGTCGCGAACTGTTGGACCTCTCTTGTGTCACACAAATTGCGGAGTGCATTTTCTTGACGAATCCTTTGATTCACAACCCGAGCACGCTAACCACTCTGCTACACTTGTACAAACAACCGTGTAAAGTGATAAATTTATCTAAAACTACTTGCCTAAGAACTTATAAAAACGGGTTCTTTTTTCTGATTTTTACATACGTATTCAAGGCTTATAATACTTTATCACTATTTAAATAACATACGGTATTTCTTTATACTCGCTGATCAAAACACTTACCATCTAACTGTTTATTCCTTAATTAAAAGTAACAATTTTAATCAGTCTCTGTGTCAAACATCTTCGATTAAAACTTAATACAGTAAAAGGATTTATTAAGAGGTACTGCATTGCTCATACCGTTAGTAAAATCGAAGTAAAAGCAATACTTTTAAGCCTTAGTGATAAAGTTGTGGTTGTGTATTGATCTGCGGGAGCTTGTTTTTTTCTTCTTATCTTTTCTACTCCGACAATACAGAGCATTAATTTTCTAAAAATAATCCCTTCTAACACTTAGACTTTAATTAAAATATCGTGCTCGTTTATTTAAGTTAGTTGTGCAATTTTATTTCTTCCTTGCTTTTTAACCGTTTGGTTCTTTATTTTATGAATTAAATTATGACATTTTTTGTTTATTTGAAAACTGTTTCTTATTCTTTCTGGGCTTGTGTGTTAGTTTTTCACGTCATCTCTTTCCATCCAAACACACACTCCTGTGCTCGAAGTATTTCCTAATAAGGATGAAAATGTCGACAAACAGCACGTGCGTGTGATTAAGATACATTTATCTTAGACTTCAAAGTTCAATATCATGAAGCGTTTTGATCTTCATTTTTGGTATGGCTTAATGCACTTCTTTATATGCTTGGTATAAACTTTGGAAAGGCAGTCTTGGAAGTCCGTTATAGAGTTGGATCTCTTCTCCTGAGTATCCATGACTTCATCAGTATGAAGTGCTACTTCATGAACCCAAGCTGGCTTAATGATAGTTATTTTGAAAAAAAAAAAAATTAATACATGCTTAAGCAACTGTAAATTTCTCAATTTTTTGAGCAGGTATTTGGAACCCTGCTTTTAGTTAGTTCTGTATTTTGGTAAGCTTTATTTTAGGAACTAAATATTTTGCTCTACATTTTGTGTATGTATTCCATGAGAAATATTAAGAAAAGCCAAAAACTTCACGATGATAATGGAGATAATGTTGTCATCCTAACTTCAGGCATTGTTTGCTTTTTTGGGGGGATGGGGAGGTATGTAAATTTGTTCAGATTTATGGTATACATTGAGAAGCTCTGCTCTAAAAAAAAAGTTAAAAACCACTTGAAGGTTTCTCGAAGAGATGGATCTGATCGCACGTGATTTTGAAAACACAGCGAGTAAGAAGGTAATATAATGAAGGTCAATATAAGGAAAAAAATCATCCGTATAAACGTTCATAATTAATCCATGAATTTGTGGATACCGCTGCCAAGGTAAAAGAAAAAAATTGGTTAAATCCTAAACTGAAGACTAAAACAATACAAACGCAATTTAAACTTTAAAGAAGAGGGGGGTCTTATTAACTTTTGCTTTTAGCCAGTGCACTCAGCTTGATGGATGATTAATTAATCAAAAAGATTAATCAAGCTATGTAATAATGTCTCCCACTTTGATGTCATAATTGAACACGATCTAATCGATCCAGAGCAACAGCCGGAGAAATTGGCACGTGTGTAACATATTGATGTTTTCTTAACTAACATTATCTCTGTTATCCGAAGTAGTGTATATTTAATTCTTGGTTCAGTAATAATAAGTGTGTGTGTGTGGGTTTTTTTCTCCTCATAAACAGTTTCTAAAGTGAACATCAACTTTTTATTTACTTGTATGTTTTAGTATATTTTGAACAGTATTTTTAAACGCACTTTTGTCTCAATCTTCTCATCGTTTTTATGCATGTAAATTTCTTTCAAGCTTAATGCAAGAAATGCCAGTGAAGGTTTTACGCATAACATTTCTGTTGGTACAGTATATCCGGTTGAGTGAATAGAGATTATTGTGACAAACGAGAGATTGCTAAATGTATACCAAGGTCAGATATTTTAACTAGTTACAAACTTTCCCATTCACCAAAATTTAGTTCCGGTCACGTGAATCGTGGGATGACGTAGCTCTTGTCATTTGGTTACTAAACGAAAACAGATGTGAGCGTGTAGAAAACATATGATTCGTGTAGAAGTAACAGGAGCATCTGAAAGCATTGTAAAAATGTTCGCATATGTTTCTGCCCTTCCCCATCTTTATTGAATGTCTTCCCATCCACGGGTGTACGTACATATTTTCTTGAGTGGAAGTATTTTAGTAAAGGCAAGGAATTTTGGTGATTGCCACTTATTTTCAGATAAAAAAAAATAAACACCTTAACAAAAAGTAATTGTATAAATGATATTAATGCTTGAGAAAAAATCCATAATTTGAATATGTAGAATAATATATATACATAAAGGCAATAAATAAATAAAGGTAGCACGTGTGTCTAGTTCCACAGTCTATAAATACAATGTCTGTTTGTTTTTTTCTTCTTTTATTTCGATGTCAGTTTCGCAAAGAGCTGCTTCAAAATGACTACGTCACGTCGCCTCAAGTAGAAGGTGGTCCGTTCCCATGGTGAAATCGATAAGGATGATTGTCTCGTACAGAACTGGCTTTGCGCCCGCTCGTTGTTTTATATGTACTGCTAACATCGAGACCAATCTTGTGGCAGGTAGAAAAGCACATTTAAGTGTATAGCGGCCAAATAGATTAAAACTTGTCCTAATAATAGGTGTTAATAAATTTAAACCCGTGAAGTTTACTCCACAGTTAAACCCTATCCAGCTGTGAAACTTAGAAAATGAAGTGCACGTTATAAAACTGGCTTGCAATATCTCTCTCAGAATAGCCGAGATATTAATTTTGTAGCATGTAAACTAGAGCAGATTGATTTGGTTAAAATAGATCTTACTTTTGGAGAGTAATTTAGGTCTGGTTATCTAATAAGCATACCCCCATAATTGTGAAGTAGGAGTCACGTGACTCGGTACTAGAAACATTTTATTTAACCCCTCATCCATTTCGTGAACATTAATAATACCTTAAATGGTAAGTGATCGTATTAATACAGACTTTTTCACTCGCGTGCGACAGGATTTGAGTTCATCAAGATCATTAAAAATATTGAAAAGGATATTGTATGATAACTGTGTAATTTGAGATTAGATATTATCTTGATGGATTTTGAAAAGTAGGGTTAGTTTATCCTGTAGTTTAGTCTGGATTGCTGCAAATCAGACTATTTGAAATTAATTGTTTTTTCTTATTCTTCAGATGTTTCTGTATTGTTCAAATAAGTACTCTTTTTGTGATATTTAAAGTGACATACTTGGTCATTAGACGTGTTTAGAATTTACAGATAAATTATCTCTCACACACACACGAGGAAACCCGGTAGTACCACTCGTTTTCTTACTTTCTTTTAATAAATTTCACCGTCATATTTTATTTTACGTAAATTATGTATTTTACAAATTTGTTTTTTTTTTCCTTTGCTCTATTTTATTGATAATGGTTGTACCTTGTAAGTTTTAAGTTTATTAATTATGTAGTATTTTGTCATTGGATATGAATTAAAATATTTACATTGTTTTTGAGACTTTTCATGGCCGCTGAAGTGTGGTTTGACTACGAAACGCCAAATTTATTTAAGCTTGATATTTAAAATAACCTAAGAATAAACTCAGGTGTACAAATAAAACTTTTAAGGGATTTTCAGCAGATCATTATATCGTGTTAAACCGATCTTTTCTCTTACAAATATGACATTTAAGGTAGAGACTGCTTATATATATATATATATATATAGTC